GGGGGGGGGTGGGGGAGGGGGGGGGGGGATGTATGAAACCTTTATTTCAAGGTCAGCTAAATAACAAGGGCTGAAAAATTATTTTAAATCTGCCTGGATTTAGATCTGGCCTGCGGCATATATATGATATTGTATGTATAAGGCTATTAATTCTTGATATGGTTAGTGATAGAATGTTAATGTTATACAGTGTCTTAATTTTCAAAGATTTTGTGTGTGAATTTTTTTGTGTTAAACTGGAAATTATGGCCTTTAGATATTGGCAATTTCAATGTGCTTTGTTGACTAATTTTTGTTTTTTCAATTTTCAGCCTGGGAAGGTGGCCTTGGCAAAAGTAGACTGTGATAAAGAAAGTGAGTATAATTTATAGGAGTTAGATTTCAGTATGTACACATTTATTGTGTTGACAATCTTTGCATATTATATGAACCAACTTCTGTTTCAGTACATTAATAAGTCACCTTAAACTAGATTGAAAAAACTAAATGGTCCCAATATCTTTATTTTTTTCTACAAGATGTGAAAAAAAAACTTCAGTCTGTGAGATATATGTATGATTTATTTAGGCACTGGAGCATGTATGATTGATATATTACACACTAGAGCATTTAAGGTATTATTGGGTATTATTGTTAACATATATAAGAAGGTTGTCTGTACAAGTTAACTTTTCATCCTTTACCCAGGTTCTTTAGCAGCCAGGTATCATGTCTCAAAGTATCCTACACTCAAACTCTTCCGTAACGGGCAACCAGTGAAGAGAGAATACAGGGGTCAGAGATCAATTGATGCCTTTACAAATTTCTTGAAAGAACAAACCAAGGATGTAATTATAGAGCATGCTAGTAGTGATGAATTTGACAGTACAGAGGTGAGTGGTTTAAAATTTTTTTAAACTTGCCAATTTAGAGTTGTTGAGAAAACAATATGTATATTTAATTATATAATCATGGTAGAATTTTTTCTTAGGTTGTCAGCATTATCATAGAATTTTTCTTCATTACTCTTACATTGTTCCTAATTTGTTAAAGTGCAAGGTTGATATCTATTTTCAGGGTAAAAAACGTAGAATCCTGGGAATGTTCGAGAGCAAGGATTCTGAAAACTATATGACATTTGCAAGAGTGGCAAATGGTTTGAGGGATGACTGTGAATTCCATATTTCAGTTGGGTAAGAAGACACAAGCAATTAATCTTTCACCTTTTAACCTCAACCTTGGCAAAATTTGATGATCAGTCTCTTACAAGACTTGAAATGCTGAAAATTGTGAAAAATAATTTTAAGTATCTTCTCATACTCAGTTTCATTGGTTTTTAAATAGAAATGCTTAAATTTGTAAAGTGTAGTTTTAAGTGTCCTTCCATATGTTGCTTAGCAGTTATGTAAATATTAGAGGTCCTATTTATGGGGTTTTACTGTGGATGTCATTCTTTTTTTCATTTTATCACACACCATCATAAATGTACTTCCAGCTTAAAGACTATATTTTTTGTTGCATCTTGTTTTTGAATTACTCTTTCTTCTCTAATTATTTTATGTCATGCTGTTCTTTGTTCCTTTTAGGCCGGGGTCTGCTAAAGATAGGGTATCTGGGGATCTTGTCCTTTTCAGAGGACCACATGTAAGTGAAAGTAGACATTAAAATCCACCTATAAAATACACTTGTACTTTTGACCTCTTTGTTAAGCTTACATTTAGTTTATTTTATCATGGCCATTTTATAGCCAAAAGTTTAAAATGTTTTCTGGTTTGCCAAGTTTATGAATGACTTAGTTTAAATTTTCCAAACGAGAGCCCATGGTTGGGAATAAATAAATGGAGTAGAGCAAAAACACTTCGTTAGCTATAAATATATATTCAATATTCTGCCACTTTAACGAAAAGGGTGTCAAATACTTAAAGTAATATGAGATCATTTCTATTAAAAATGTAAATTATTTGGTTCAGTTTGTACATCAGTTGTGTGATGTAGATTAGGTACTGTCTTTATCTTGATTCACAGTGCATATTTTAATCACAAGCTCATGTTTCAGACTAAAAATGAAGATGTTGTGTACACAGGAATGTTGAATGATTATGAGATTTTGAAACAGTGGATAACTGATAAATGTATACCCTTGGTCAGAGAAATTACTTTTGAAAATGCTGAGGTAAGTGTTATTGTTATTAAAAATAATTTTAATATTAAAAAGTATTATGTACACATAATGTTTGTTTAAAAAATTTATAATGTTTTTTTCTTAATTTCAATTTTTTTTAAATGCATTTTTAATGCATTTCTCACTTTTAGAAATATAGGTGCAACAGAGTTTTGTATTTAAGCTTTGTTTTGTTTTGTTTAAACTGCTATCTATTTCAGGTCTATTCATAATTATTATGATTTTAAAAAATAAAATTTCAATTCATTTATTATCAATAAATTTGAATATGTATGTGGCAAACTATTGATTTATATAAGTGTGCATGTTGGTGTACGGGTCTTTTGTATCACCCTGTTCCCTTTTATAGGAATTAACAGAAGAGGGGTTGCCATTCCTAATTTTATTTCATGATCTAGATGATAAAGAAACCCCTAGAATATACCAAGAGGAAGTAGCAAAACAAATAATAAATGAAAGAAGTAAGTATATTGGTAATCATATATTACTGGGGATTTTATTTTCAGGGCACCAATGTTCACCTAGCAGTTAGTTTTGACTGGCACTTGATGCTACATTTTCATTTATTTATTGCCACCATCTTTCATTGGTTGTATTTTCAGAGTATTGTAGAGGAGGGGCTTCCTCTTGTAGTTCTTTTTCATCATCAGGATGATACAGAAATTGCTAAAACATATGTGAATCAAATACATGCGCAGGTGTATGATCAGAGATGTAAGTTTTAAATGCGTGTTAGACCAGGAGGCATCTATAAACTGTGATGGTCGTTCTTTTGAACCAAAAGTGAAAGGTACTAACAGTTTAAGGACAAAAAATTGTCATCTTTGCTTGCTGGAGAAAGGGTACTAACAAACGGTTGCTTTTACTCCAGGACTCTTAATTTTTGTGATGGGCCAAAATAAGCATATGCTGGCTGGGTTTTTTTTAAGAAACCCCAGTTTGGTTCATATGCAAGTTTGTACATCGATGGTAGTGTTATGTAAAGGGCTCTTGTAGTGTTGGATATTACTGGACAAAAGATATTTTCAATGAAGGTGTTACTAAAGAAGCAGTTGACTTGTTGTTTGCATGATTTTTGGATTACAGGTTTTGAATGTAATGTATCAACATTTATTAAATCCCAACTTAGTATTTTTAATTACCACTTGAAATTTGAAATTGCTTCATGTGTGAAAATTGTAATAAAATATATTAGTTTAAAAAAGTAAACGCTCATTATTATTTGTTTAAATAGACGAAGTTCACTTAAAATCAATATGTTATTCGCACTTGAACTGAGTGAAGTTTTAATCATTTTGCTTTCATCTTTTTTGTTATTTCTAGATAATGTAAACTTTTTGACAGCTGATGGTAAAAAGTTTGCTCATCCACTGCATCATCTTGGAAAGAGTGACAAAGATTTGCCTGTACTTGCCATTGACAGTTTTAGGCATATGTATGTCTTTCCATATGATGTTAAAACAAGACTGACGTAAGTAGTGATACATGTGCTACAAATCATTTCCTCCTAATGGAAGCTACTGTTATTTAAGTGTGGTTTTCAAAGTAATTTTGCTGTAGACAAATCTTGAAAAATGGCTGTGCAGTGTTTTTTCAGTCTACACTGTTTGGATACGCACACTTCACATGGTAGCAACATTGACAATGATGCTAACTTCAAGAAGATGACCACATAGCCACCAAAGTTTGGAAGTGCAAAGACTATTAGTTGTTGACCTAAAAAAAACTTCACAGGCCTTTTTCAACAGTTGGTTAAATTCTAATCTAATGAATTCAGCTTTTGATATTGTGCACCTTATTGAAATTTAAGTAGAAAATTTGATTTTAATGCTAATACATACAATTTAATTCTTACAGTGAACCTGGTCTTTTAAAGACTTTCATAGCAGATTTACATTCTGGAAAACTCCACAGAGAATTCCACCATGGCCCAGATCCCACCCCACCGCCTCCAGTGCAAGAGCAGGTTGGTGCAACTTTGTGCACTTTGAATTTAAGATATTGTGAAAAATAGGCTTAATGTAAAGATACCAATGACTATACTATTTAGGCTGTTTAATATTTAGCCAATAGTTATGAAGTATTTTTTACTGTGATCTTGTAAGATGTATCCATCTTTGTATGCTAAAATGTGATAGTCCTTTTTTGTAAATTTTGGATCAGTCATGTTTGTTTCAAAACAATTGGTACCAAACTCTGCTTTCATCCCCCTCCCCCAATCTACCTTCACCTTTGCAAAGAACACGCCACCAGTAAATTACCAAAATTTTCATGGGATTTATTATTATTTTTTAAATTTCCTTTAGCCATCCAGTGAAGACCAAGAAGAACAGCCAGCTAACCATGTGCCAAAAGAACCTCAACAACCAAACCAACCAGCACAGCATCAGTTTCAGCAAGAACAACCCACAGACCCACCAGAGTCCACATTCAGAAAACTTGCCCCATCTAGAAACAGATACACACTACTTAGGGATGAGCTGTAGATTTATTAAAGGAATNCTGAACTATAAGAGATTTGGATAAGCGGTTTTATTATGGAAGAGAGTGCGGTCATGGATATTTTAAAAGGGTCTTCCCAAATGTCAGGGCGTCCAATGAGCGCCAGTGTATTTTTAATGCCGGTTGACCAGGTTGAGGTGTTAAGTCTGTTTAAATTTTCATTTTCGTGGAGTGCATGAGTAACTAAGGAGGTGGTGTCATGGTGCTTTTTATATTGGAGGCTGTGCCAGTATTTGAGGGCCAGTGTGTAGGCAGTGGTCAGTATTGGGAAGCTGCCCAGTTCTCCGCGGACAGCATGTGAGGGAGATTTTCGGTTAACACCTAGGATAGTTTTATGAGTCATGTCATTAACACACAATTTATTTTTGTAGTATTCATGAATGAGATTTTCCCAACTATCAGTGGATTTCTGACCCTTTGGGTGTCAAAATATCATTTTTGAGATCAGTGCAGGGGCCCCTTAGACCCAAGGCCATATTTTCAGACGTCTTTAATAAATGGCGTTATCATCCCTAATTATTTGAAATATTAGAAATCAAAAGTAATTCAATTAATAACTGATATAAACAGATTTGCAAATATTGCACACAATGTGTTACCAACATGACTCAATTGTTACTTTCTTGTGGAACAATGCCTTGATGAAATATCATATTCTATGGTTTGTTCATTATCCTTATGTTATGTGGTCAACTTGTGATGTACATATTATTCAGATAAATGACCTTAGACTGTTCAGACTGTACTTCAGGTGTCTAACAAGCACTGCTAATTATAATGTGTAAGTGTTAAACCAAACCTCACATGGGGTCATGAATAAGCACTATTCTCTTTATTTCAGGTTTCTGTTTTCTACAGACCAACAGATAGTGGTGCTATTCAGATGCATGATGCCAATCTTGATGAAGTATTATGTAAGTGGTATAATTTGTATCTCATTTCATATGGAAACATTTTGTATGAAAGCAAAAAAGTCTAATATAAAATTCACATTGTATAATTGAGAAAAAAAATACAGTTATTTAAAATATTATTTTGCTCTTGTGGTTTCTAAATGACCAGTAAACTACAGATCAAATGATAATTGGGACGTCAATATAGATTTGACTTATGACAGAAAATTAGGCAATAGAAACAGTTTTAGTATCTTGTTGCCATAGATTGCAAAGCCATTGCTATACATAAGGTCACAGACTGTAAATGGCATGAATGCGTTTGTGTAATGGCACAGAACTTGATCAAATGGAATTATTAATGCACTATAAAGATGTAGAACACATCAATAAAAAGAGCAAATGTATGGGAGTTTTTTCTTTTTGTTACAGCTAGCAATGAAGTAGTCTTTGTAAATTTTTATGCAGACTGGTAAGTGTTATTTTTGTGCCTCTCTAATTTTTTTGCAGTGTAGTACTTAACATTTTGAAAAGGGTTGTTTATATGTGAAAAACCTGCATATGTATACATGGCAGGATGATAACATTCAGGGACTATCTGTCTGTAACGGTTAATGAATAATTCATTGTAATTAAGCATAAACCTGCTCAGTTTATGACAATTTAATATATTGAATCTTGATTTTTATAGTTGTTCGCCTTTGATCTTAATTTTAGTAGTAATGATTGTTTATTATTAATTAACAATTTCTGAATAAAAAAGTTTGTGACATCTGAAGAATTTAGTAAGATTTTGAATATGTTTTTTTATCAGAAGAAAACCTTGTGTTCCCTTTCTAGGTGTCGGTTCAGTCAGATGCTGCAGCCTATATTTGATGACACTGCCACAAAAGTTGCAAGTGAATTTTCTGTAAGTTGTTTTTTCCTTTCTTTCGGGAAGGGGGGGTGGGGGTATGTATGAAACCTTTATTTCAAGGTCAGCTAAATAACAAGGGCTGAAAAATTATTTTAAATCTGCCTGGATTTAGATTTAGATCAAAGATTTTATGTGTGAATTTTTTTGTGTTAAACTGGAAATCATGGCCTTTAGATATTGGCAATTTCAATGTGCTTTGTTGACTAATTTTTGTTTTTTCAATTTTCAGCCTGGGAAGGTGGCCTTGGCAAAAGTAGACTGTGATAAAGAAAGTGAGTATAATTTATAGGAGTTAGATTTCAGTATGTACACATATATTGTGTTGACAATCTTTGCATATTATATGAACCAACTTCTGTTTCAGTACATTATTAAGTCACCTTAAACTAGATTGAAAAAACTAAATGGTCCCAATATCTTAATTTTTTTCTACATTTTAAAGGAAAAGATGTGAAAAAAAAACTACAGTCTTTGAGATATATGTATGATTTATTTAGGCACTGGAGCATGTATGATTGATATATTACACACTAGAGCATTTAAGGTATTATTGGGTATTATTGTTAACATATATAAGAAGGTTGTCTGTACAAGTTAACTTTTCATCCATTACCCAGGTTCTTTAGCAGCCAGGTATCATGTCTCAAAGTATCCTACTCTCAAACTCTTCCGTAACGGGCAACCAGTGAAGAGAGAATACAGGGGTCAGAGATCAATTGATGCCTTTACAAATTTCTTGAAAGAACAAACCAAGGATGTAATTATAGAGCATGCTAGTAGTGATGAATTTGACAATACGGAGGTGAGTGGTTTAAATTTTTTTAAAACTTGGCAATTTAGAGTTGCTGAGAAAACAAATATGCATATTTAATTATATAATCATGGTAGACTTATTTCTTAGGTCGTCAGCATTCTCATAGAATTTTTCTTCATTACACTTTCATTGTTCCTAATTTGTTTAAGTGCAAGGTTGATATCCATTTCAGGGTAAAAAGCGAAGAATCCTGGGAATGTTCGAGAGTAAGGATTCTGAAAACTATATGACATTTGCAAGAGTGGCAAATGGTTTGAGGGATGACTGTGAATTCCATATTTCAGTTGGGTAAGAAGACACAAGCAATTAATCTTTCACCTTTTAACCTCAACCTTGGCAAAATTTGATGATCAGTCTCTTGCAAGACTTGAAATGCTGAAAATTGTGAAGAATAATTTTAAGTATCTTCTCATACTCAGTTTTATTGGTTTTTAAATAGAAATGCTTAAATTTGTAAACTGTAGTTTTAAGTGTCCTTCCATTTGTTGCTTAGCACTTATGTAAATATTAGAGGTCCTATTTATGGGGTTTTACTGTGGATATCATTCTTTTTTTCATTTTATCACACACCATCATAAATGTACTTCCAGCTTAAAGACTATATTTTTTGTTGCATCTTGTTTTTGAATTACTCTTTCTTCTCTAATTATTTTATGTCATGCTGTTCTTTGTTCCTTTTAGGCCAGGGTCTGCTAAAGATAGGGTATCTGGGGATCTTGTCCTTTTCAGAGGACCACATGTAAGTGAAAGTAGACATTAAAATCCACCTATAAAATACACACTTGTACTTTTGACCTCTTTGTTAAGCTTAGATTTAGTTTATTTTATCATGGCCATTTTATAGCCAAAAGTTTAAAATGTTTTCTGGTTTGCCAAGTTTATGAATGACTTAGTTTAAATTTTCCAAACGAGAGCCCATGGTTGGGAATAAATAAATGGAGTAGAGCAAAAACACTTCGTTAGCTATAAATATATATTCAATATTCTGCCACTTTAACGAAAAGGGTGTCAAATACTTAAAGTAATATGAGATCATTTCTATTAAAAATGTAAATTATTTGGTTCAGTTTGTACATCAGTTGTGTGATGTAGATTAGGTACTGTCTTTATCTTGATTCACAGTGCATATTTTAATCACAAGCTCATGTTTCAGACTAAAAATGAAGATGTTGTGTACACAGGAATGTTGAATGATTATGAGATTTTGAAACAGTGGATAACTGATAAATGTATACCCTTGGTCAGAGAAATAACTTTTGAAAATGCTGAGGTAAGTGTTATTGTTATTAAAAATAATTTTAATATTAAAAAATATTATGTACACATAATGTTTGTATAAAAAATTTATAATGTTTTTTTCTTAATTTCAATTTTTTTAAAATAAGGCATTTTTAATGCATTTCTCACTTTTAGAAATATAGGTGCAACAGAGTTTTGTATTTAAGCTTTGTTTTGTTTTGTTTAAACTGCTATCTATTTCAGGTCTATTCATAATTATTATGATTTTAAAAAATAAAATTTCAATTCATTTATTATCAATAAATTTGAATATGTATGTGGCAAACTATTGATTTATATAAGTGTGCATGTTGGTGTATGGGTCTTTTGTATCACCCTGTTCCCTTTTATAGGAATTAACAGAAGAGGGGTTGCCATTCCTAATTTTATTTCATGATCTAGATGATAAAGAAACCCCTAGAATATACCAAGAGGAAGTAGCAAAACAAATAATAAATGAAAGAAGTAAGTATATTGGTAATCATATATTACTGGGGATTTTATTTTCAGGGCACCAATGTTCACCTAGCAGTTAGTTTTGACTGGCAGTTGATGCTACATTTTCATTTATTTATTGCCACCATCTTTCATTGGTTGTATTTTCAGAGTATTGTAGAGGAGGGGCTTCCTCTTGTAGTTCTTTTTCATCATCAGGATGATACAGAAATTGCTAAAACATATGTGAATCAAATACATGCGCAGGTGTATGATCAGAGATGTAAGTTTTAAATGCATGTTAGACCAGGAGACATCTATAAACTGTGATGGTCATTCTTTTGAACCAAAAGTGAAAGGTACTACTAGTTTGAGGACAAAAAAAATTGTCATCTTTGCTTGCAGGAGAAGGGGTACTAACAAACGGTTGCTTTTACTCCAGGACTCTTAATTTTTGTGATGGGCCAAAATAAACATATGCTGGCTGGGTTTTTTTAAAAGAAACCCCCAGTTTGGTTTATATGCAAGTTTGTACATCGACGGTAGTGTTATGTAAAGGGCTCTTGTAGTGTTGGATATTACTGGACAAAAGACATATTTTCAATGAAGGTGTTGTTACTAAAGAAGCAGTTGACTTTTTGTTTGCATGATATTTGGTTTACAGGTTTTGAATGTGTTGAATCAACATTTATTAAATCCCAACTTAGTATTTTTAATAATCACTTGAAATTTAAATTGCTTCATGTGTGAAAATTGTAATAAAATATATCATTTTAAAAAAAGTAAACAGTTATTATTATTTGTTTAAATGGACAAAGTTCACTTAAAATCAATATCTTATTCATACTTGAACTGAGTGAATTTTTAATCATTTTGCTTTCATCTTTTTTGTTACTTCTAGATAATGTAAACTTTTTGACAGCTGATGGTAAAAAGTTTGCTCATCCACTGCATCATCTTGGAAAGAGTGACAAAGATTTGCCTGTACTTGCCATTGACAGTTTTAGGCATATGTATGTCTTTCCATATGATGTTAAAACAAGACTGACGTAAGTAGTGATACATGTGTTACAAATCATTTCCTCCTCATAGAAGCTACTGTTATTTTGTTATTTAGGTGTGGTTTTCAAATTAATTTTGCTGCAGACAAATCTTAAAAAATGGCTATGCAGTGTTTTTCAGTCAACACTAAGTTGGGATACACACACTTCAGATGGTAGCAACATCGGCAATGATGCTAACTTCAAGAAGATGACCACATGGCCATCAAAATTTGGAAATGCAAAGACTATTAGTTGTTGACCTAAAAAACTGCACAGGCCTTTTTCTGCAGTTGGTTAAATTCAAAATTGAAATTTAAGTAGAAATTTTAATTTCAATGCTAATACATACAACTTAATTCTTACAGTGAACCTGGTCTTTTAAAGACTTTCATAGCAGATTTACATTCTGGAAAACTCCACAGAGAATTTCACCATGGCCCAGATCCCACCCCACCGCCTCCAGTGCAAGAGCAGGTTGGTGCAACTTTGTGCACTTTGAACTTAAGATATTGTGAAAAATAGGCTAAATGTAAAGATAGCAATGCTTATGCTATTTAGGCTGTTTAATATTTAACTAATAGTTATGATGTTGAAGTTTTTTACTTTGATCTTGTAAGGATGTATCCATCTTTGTATGTTAAAATGTGATAGTCCTTTTTCTTTGTAAATTTTTGATGTCATGTTTGTTCCAAAACAATTGGTACCAAACTCTGCTTTCACCCCCCCCAATCTATCTTCACCTTTACAAAGAACACACCGCCTGTAAATTACCAAATTTTTCATGGGATTTGTTAATTTTTTTAAAATTTCCTTTAGCCATCCAGTGAAGACCAAGAAGAACAGCCAGCTAACCATGTGCCAAAAGAACCTCAACAACCAAACCAACCAGCACAGCATCAGTTTCAGCAAGAACAACCCACAGACCCACCAGAGTCCACATTCAGAAAACTTGCTCCATCTAGAAACAGATACACACTACTTAGGGATGAGCTGTAGATTTATTAAAGGAGTATCAAAAGATTAGTTGTATTTTTTTTAGTGTGCATGTTTGCAATGTTAATCTCCATCTTTGTCTTTGTCACAGTCAAGTCACTTGCTTCCGTGTAAAGTGAACTGTAAGATGTGTTAGATTGCCACCAACTGGGATAAAAACAAACAAAACAACTACCCTTCGTTGGTAGTTGGTCACTATAAGTAGCTTTGCTCAGCTATTCAGAACTGTTATTAGGGTCTATTTTATTGCATGTACTTTTTATGAGATTACAAATTTTCTTACCTTTTGTCCAGCAGTTGTATTGAAACCTGGTCTGTATTCAAAAAGGCAGGTTAAACCATGACATTGCCAGAAGTAATCTGGATGGCAACAAAAGGTAATAACGGCCTCTTATCAAAAGGTCCCACATAAATATTCTGTAGGTTCTTTTTTTTTTTAATTTTCAAAAGTTCTATAAATGCTTGAAAATGATACAGTTGAGAAATGGCTCTAAGTGGTCTAAGTGTGACAATCCATACAACAGGCTCTTTTATGTATTGTTTATATGAAGGTTCCAATTGGTTTGTTTGTGCACAATTCCATTGGTGAGTTATGTTTTCTGATAATTCTGCATTTGATATCAAAAGTTAACTGGTTACTAAGATAGTATGTTTTACTGATAAAAGGGAATGCTTTATATTTTATGAAATGCCATATTTATGTGGTGACAGAAATGGGGATATTTAATCAGACTGCTGAAATATTGAGATGCATTGGTTGAAGCTTGAGACCAGGTTTTTTAAGGGGGAAATATCCCAGGGTGGTTTATCAATACAAGTGTTCAACTTTTTGAAGTTGATATATATCTGTTGTATCCCTTTTCTGAATCTTGCAGGTATTCATTTTGTCATGTTATGATTTCATTGTTTTTACTTCCATTCATTTGTCATTACTGTAGCATTTGCATAAAGTGTCTAGTTTATTTACAGTTATTTGATTCTTTTTCTTGGAGATGGGGCCTATTATGATGGATTTCATAGGTATTATGACATGAATAATATTTAAGCTTTGATGGGCACAATTGTGCTATTTAAAAACATCTTTTAAAAATATTTTGCTGTAAACAATGCAGATCTGCATTCAGATAGAAATATATTTCAGTATTGGGAGTTGGCAAAGACATACATCTTTGTATTTAGATACATATATTACAGAGCTGTTAAATGTAGATTTTTCATGCATTTATACAGATTAAATTTCTTAAATTAAACAGCTGTTGACAGATTGTTTTTTATGTAGTTTTTCTGTACTAATAGCCATAGCCTACATCTGGTAGTGGCATTGTCATCGTTGTTGATAAAAGGAAACCTACATCATTTATTATTCTCAAACTTACTGATATGATTCATAGGCCTAAAGTGACTAAAAAAATTATATTAGCATCAAAATTTTCTGCTTTATGTCTGTATATTTAAAAGTCTTGCTGACTTTTCCTGCATTTTTAAGGCTGACTCTGACATTATAAATATGCAGACAAAACAGTTTTATGCAAGTCACCACATTTACTTCACAATGCACAAACATGCAAAATATTTCAAATACAGAACCACTTAATTTTCACCGTAATACATCCATGGATTCAAGGAAACATGAAATAGACCTAGCCATCAGTTTTTTGTTCAAACACAAAAAAAAAAAATACCGTTGTGGCCCAGTGTAAACTATACAATTTTCAAAGCAGACAATACTCCACTAGAATTGGACTACATATGGTAAGCATGCATGTGACATAAACCTTAAAATGACTTGTAATGAATGCTAATTACAAATGAAAAAAATGACAATTTAAAATAAATGAAGGAATATGGTACTGAATGTGTCCACACATAAATATTAACATAACATATGGCCAGTTGGTAACCCTTAATTGTAAACTAGAATAAAATTTGAGGATCCACCAAATCGTACCTGATTGTTCTCTTTACAGAAAGATGAAAGGGATTCCTTCTAAAAATTCTAGAACACTAGCTGTTTACCATTGTACTGTTTTTACGTTCACATCCTTTCTGTATGAGGCAAGATTTTTATACACATTTATATTGAATAAAACACCAGTTATAGTCTATTTTAAACCCATATGTCTAAAAATCGAAGAGATTATAAGCACCAAAGACATTCCATGTTGTTTTATATATTCAATTCCATCAATATATATCTTTTCATTTAAACCATTATGCTATTTGCCAGACAAGTTTAAATTGGGCATTGAATTCGAGTCCTTTTTGCTGAGATTTTGCAGTTCAGCCTCATTTGCATGGTCCTGTTTCTTCTTGATGAACTTCCCACCTGCAAAACCTGTAAAACGGAATATATTATATTTCTGTGAGTTATTCACAGTGTTTTTATTGTGAAATATAGACCTCATACGAAGAGTTATTATCCCTTTAAACACTGGTTGTTATTTATCTCTGTGTCAATTTAGATAACATTAATTTTAAATATCTGTTCCCATTGAAAAGGTTTGATAATTTTTATCGGATAACAGTTGAGCTCAGAAATAATGAGATGTTACCAGAAGTAATTTTTAACAACAGGTTACTTTTACTCAGAATTCAGGATAAAATTATGAGCAAAAGTGACATAATTAAGATACCTCAGTACTGGGATTTTTTCCTGAGCATGTTATGACTCACCTACAATTCCACCAACACCAGCAGCTGCCAGCCCTCCTATTTTTGCTCCTACATACAGCCCCACTGGACCTGCCACAACTCCACCTATAACAGCACCTGCCACTGGGACAATAGCTGCCTTGTATTTGGCAGCCTACAAACAGGTGGGGGAGGTAAAAATAACGAAGATGATGAGACAAGTTTAAACCATGTTTAAGAAGATTAATAGTTAAAAACTGGATCCAGTTTTTTTTAAACATTATTTTGACATCCCTTAACGATGATAAAAAAATAATAAAAATAATATGATGATGATGACAAGACAAGTTTAAAACATGTTTAAGAAACTTAAATGCTTAAAACTGGATCCAATTTTCAAAACTTTATTTTGACATGCTGTGGAAAGGTGTAGTATCTTGGCTATAATTTGTGTTGAAAGTTTTGTATCATATAAATCTGTTCACTGTGAGATTGAAAAGGTAATGAGATTTTAAAAGACAGATCTTGTAATTTTTGAGTTTTAAAATGTTTTTTTAGAAGACTTCACCTTAGAGAGATTAATTGCTGCTCCTTGCACATTGCTATGAGCTTTTTCTACATTGTCTTCTATTCTGTCTACAACTTCTTGTTGACTCTATTTAAGAAAGAAAATCAGACATGGAAAAACTGTCATAAGTAAAGGAAATGTTATGGTGTACAATATTATATACAGCATTCTAAAAAGGATATTATCAGCAGACCAAAACAAATCCATTAAGATGATCAAATATTATAAAATACCTGAACTAGGTCAGCAAACTCATGGATCATAGTATTCAATTCTAATAGACTCTGAAAGAAAATAAACATCCAACATAAGTAAATTAAAGACAACTGAAATTTTTCACCATTAAAAATATTTTTATACATTCAAGTATGTATGATGTTGAGTCATAAAGGAAGTAACAAAAAGTGATCAACAGAAACATGTAAAAAAGGTACTGATAAGCTGTTAAAATTCAAAATAAATGCTTTAAATTATAGCAAGTACCTCTTTCAAGTTATCTAATGACTGAGCAGCATCTGTGTTATCTGGAACGGTTTGGGTTAACTGCTGTTGTAAGTAACTGTCTGTGGGAAGGCTGCAGGACACAGGATTCTGATCTAAATAAAAAGGGATTTTATTTTAAAAATTGTACGTAAGCAGAACATATGACATCCATCAATGTATGAATTGTATAGATCTGTCAAATTCTATATCAAAGACAAGGAGATAATATGAGAGGTAGAAATCATTTCAACTGTTGTGGGCTGAGTGAATATATACTAAACTGTGTGTGGATAGGAGGAGGCATGATAATGATGATGCAATTTTCCAAGCAGGCCAACATACTCACATGTTCCAGTATCATGATCGCAGGCCAGGGGATGAGGCAAAGCACCACTGTCTTTCGCAATACTTTCATCTTCAGCAGGGACTGGCACATGATATGAATGTCCATAAACCTCTAGGAATTCTTTTACCTGTGATAAAGCCTTTTCTTTAATTTCAGTTACTTTGGTGTTAAATTGAACAACTTCATCATCCTCTACTTGGTGTCGAGTTTTCTCAAGCTCTCGAATATTAGCTTTCAATTGCTGTATTGTCCTTGTAGCATTAATCTGTTCTTTGTTGAGGTTTTCCCATTCTCGTAGTCTTTGAAACTGGAAATAAACAATACCTTGTGTGTTCAATTAATTCCTTATTAACATTCAAAAATACTTAGCATATTTTACTATACTGCACATTCAGAAATAGCCTATATGTTTCACTAATTTACAAATGTAGTTTTGTCTTCACTCCACATGGAGTATGAGCGGAGGCACAGAACTCTCCACCTCTTGACTTAAACTGGTGTGAACTATTATCAAATTGTATAAATTTTGACTTAAGTAAAATGTAGTTTTAGGTTTTAGCTTAATCTTTAAACTACAGGTGTGATGACAATAAAAACAGAAATATATGAAAACAATAATCCCACAAAATGAGTATAAGAACAGATTTTTTATACCAATAAAAATACCTTTAGAAGATTTCTCTGATGTCTGTCAAGTCTTTCTAGATCTATCTCTAAAACTTTGATAAACTTCTGGATGCTTGGCTCCAAGCGACGAATTGGATATTTCTGATAATTACATGGTTTACTGCCTTTATTCACTGCTTCTTCAAAACTTGCCATTCTTACTGTCACCTGGACTCAAACATGGTTCCTGCAATGTGAATGAAAATATATATTATCAAAATGCTCAGGAGTTTCTCAGCATTTTCAATCCAAGATAAGAAGCATTCACTTTTGATGATTTTTGAGTTTGGGACTGTGCAGTATCCCCCCCCCCCTCCCCCATCACCACCTGTATTATCCGGTGGCAATGATCAATGTCTGCATGTACATCAGAAAATTTACTTAGTTTAATGAGTTTATACTAAGACATCAAATAATTAGTAAGTAAACTACAAAACTAATTTACCTCAATAGCAGGGGCGCTGATCAATGTGAACACATATTTCAATTTTGAAAATATTGTTTGCATGTGTGTGGGGGAGGGTGCAAAAGTACCAATATTTTATTACCCCCCCCCCCCCCCCCCGGATTCCTCACAACATATGATACATAGGTTGAAGAGCAGATAATGCAACATAAGAAGATTCCATCAACGCTGAGTTTAATTCACAGCTTGCTGGTTCATTTTTGCAGTATCAATCTAATTCCGACTCACAGATTAGATTTATTATTTAAGTCTTACAAAAACTCAACTTCCTGTCGAGTCAGCGCCAATGAAAACAGAAGTACGCAGTCATTATAATAAAATAGGATTGCAACATTTAAAAAAGATAGCTTAATTCTACATGGGATATTGCCTACGATTTATAGATAATAATAAGCTAATGGCCGAGAATAATCCCTTTACTTACCAAGAGCGTCAACAAAACTACTCTTTTGAAAATGAAGAGCGGAAAAAAGAACCAGACCAACCACAATGCATATATATATAATAATTAAAATGCTTTTAATAAACAATAATTTTTAAGTATTAACACGGTTACTTCTTTTTATTAAAAAAAAATGCCTTCATAAACAGGCGGACAAAGCTGCCGCGGTGCGCGCGTGCACTATGGTATATACCGGAAATACAGCAGAGGACACAACGTACCGTTGGGGGGCGTCTCGATAGTCCGAAGGTTCATTGGTCCGAAGGTTCATTGGTCCGAAAAGTGGTAGCATTTTTATCGATTTTTTAATCAAGGGTTCATTGGTCCGAAGGTTCTATAGTGAACATTCGGACCAATGAACCTTCGGACTATTGAACCTTCGGACTATCGCTACGGCCCCGTACATGTACAGTACAGGTGTGTCACCGTGTGTGACGGCAAATAATTAATACATTCGTTATACACATACAAACATTTATTGTATGTATAAATTTAAAATCAAATTTCATAAAATTCACGAAAAAGATGCTTTGAAATCGCCATTTGCCCTACTGTGGCAAAACACAGAACTTTCATTTTGTAAGATTTTACCGTGACATGATTTTAACGGTTTCCCAGTATCCGCTATATATAAGTAGTACGTGGTTCTAGGATAATCCCCCCCGGACAATTTCCCAC